CGTGGCTTTACATCGCGGAGCGTGCCGCATGGCCTGAGCGCAAATATTTTAACAATAGATTTATATCTTATCGCTTTTTATTTTATTATTTTCTATACGCAAACGGTGGATCGCGAAGTGATTTTTTTGCTTGTAAAAGGAAATAATTGTAATCTAACTGTATTAACTAATAATTAAAGCTGACTTTTTTATCTGCAGGTTACAAAACACTTGAATACATAAGTTAGTGGAACTTTGCTTGAGGTAGGTATTGACTGTCTTTTTCAGATAGAAACTGAAGCTAAAAGGTGTTGGTTGCCAGGGTTCTACTAAATCAGTAAAATAACTAATATGAAATTTGACCACTAGGTCAGTCAAGTGATTTTTCCGAGTTATTGGAATACTAGATTCTAAAAATACAGTATTGGAATCTTTACAGGAACCTGATTACAAAAAACCACGAGGTAACTGGAAATTCCCAAACTGCATTTAAGAAATGTTTACTTTTGAGAAATACTTTTGTTATTGACTTCCTAAGATGACAAAATTGACAAAATTTGACTTTCAGGATATTCTGACTTAATTTTTTCGTCTATCTAAGCTTTGGCAAAAACGCACAGCTCCATTTTATTAAACAAGTTATTGCAGTGCCTGCTATTTGCTAGGTGCTGAAACATCATTAAAATTTTTTGCTAAGTTAATAAAAATTACATAAATTTTAAAGTAGTACCACATTCACTCATCTGGGAAATTGCTTAATTCTCACATAAGATTTATGCGATTTTATTCACGGTGTGTTCATCTCACAAAAACTAATACTATCAAGCACATTTTAAACCAATTCTTTCGGGTAAGGAATTCGTCCCATAGGAAACCTATTTGATGGAAAGTAAAATAATGATCAACAACATTGCCGCTGCGCCTGCCCTTCCCCTCCCCAAGCCTAAACATTTTTATATTATACATAGGCTTAAAAACTAAAGTTTATCATTCTGCTGAATTCTCGGGCATGAGGTAAGGGCAATAATTGATTAATTAGAAAATCGTCTGTGTGTTAAAAATATTGTTGGCAAAAAATGTCAGAAATTAGTATTTAAGAGCCGTCGTTAACATCTGAAATTAATTGAAGGACATTTTACTTGCCCTTGAGGTATTACCTTGGGGTCAGCATGTTCCCAGGTAACAAAATCCTTTGAGTTAATAACAGGAATTACTTGGCCATGGGATTAATACCAAACCATTCTAGATGTGTTCACAACTAGATAAGCATTAGTAAAATTTTCATGCTGGCTAGAGGGAAGGATTTAAGAAGGATCGGTAAGTTCCCCTGACCTTTTCTGATGCTTGTGCCCCTCTTGGGAATATTTGGTGTATGCTATTCCTTCTGTAGATGATTTAAACATAGCTTATGTTGTAATTAGGTTTCTAAAGGGACTCACGTAGCATGAGACCTTGTTTGTTAGAAACTAGCAGAAAATTCCAAAGTAGCTAGTTCTAATCTTACAGATTAAGTGGTGAATATTATTAAGTCTTATAAATGGTGTTGGCTGGCAGTGTAACCGTTGAAAGGATCCTGGCCTAGGAGTTAGGAGAACTAGATTTTAATCCTCTCCGCTGATAAGAGTGCTTACATTTTTTTTTAACCTATGTTAATTTCTAGTTTCTACAACTTGTTATCAGATGGCTAAAAAACTGTATTATTAAAAGCAGTTTTCTAAATTAGAAATTACTATTAATAATTGCCTTGACAGTGTTTCAGTCTTCAAGTAATTTTATTAGTGGTTGTCTTTGAGGAGCATTATTTGATCATACTTAATATTTATGCTCATTCATTCTTACTGGGAACAAGGAAAATGATGGTTTTACGCATTTTAGATTTACTAGAGGGGGATGAAACTGGCGAGAATTAGAACTGCTACACCAGTGTAGCATAATTGCGGATGTTCTCCGGTGTTGGAAATTTGGGGTTTATAGAAGGAAAAAAATTTCTTTGGTGCACCTTCTATGATAGCTTATAATGTTCTTGGATTATTTATATTCAGTCAGGAGAACATTTGAAGGCTTGGTGCTCAAACTTGTTTCTGCCACAATACACTGGAAGCTTATTCAAGAATGAATTGATTACCTAGGAAATAGAGATTCCCCGTTTAAACTCTTCACAATGGTTTTCTACCAGAATCGAGGTCTAGTTAAAACAGATGGCTAGAATCTCCACAGCCAGGCTTTCTAATTGAGTAAGTTTAGGGCGGGGCCTAAGTATTTGCATTTCTACTAAGTCCCAGGTATGATGTTGATTCTAGGTAACTCAATCTGAAGAAGGGATCCACACCTCAGGCAGATTTGACAATCTAGGGATACTTCACTTTTGTAAGCCATGTCTTTTGAGTCATATCTAGGGATAGTCTTAATTGAAAACTTACAATTGGGTCTTTTTACAAGTGATAGCTCATCGATGTAACTTAGCATCTTGGAAGATATATTAGCTTCTTGACACCGAAAGATTTAAATGCTTTTTTCCCCCTACATTGTTTCTTTTTAGGCTTCTGTCTTGTAGTACATGTGCAAAAGATTAGTGGTTGAACCAGTGTTACGTATCCTGAACATTTAGACTACAGTGGTTAGACTGTGACTCCAATAAGCAAATTGAATGTTTCACCATAACTGTATTTTCTGAACAGTGAATTGAAGGAAATGCTATTGTTGTACATTTTCTACAATTTTGCATAATTATTTCCACAGTTTGCACACATTTGTACAATTTTGTACATCAGTCCAAGTGTAAAAGTTGACCTTGTTATGCCTAAACTGGTCTACTTTTTAAAAATTTACAATTAAAATTTTAGTTACGGTACCTTTTGTGTAGTCATTTATTTGTAGTTGGCTGAAGGAACACTTCTAAAAATCTCAATTAAAAGTTTTTTAGTTTACTGAAATTTGTAAAGAAGATTTAAGACCTTGTGGCTGAATATTGAAATGTGAGAAGCCAGGCTCCGTGGCTCAGCCTGTAATCCCGCGCCTTTGGGAGGCTGAGGTGAGTGGATTGCCTGAGCCCACGGGTTCGAAACCCACCTGGGCAACTTGGCCAAACCTCATCTCAGTAAATTAAAAAATTAGCCGGGCGTGGTAGCGCGTGCCTGTAGTTCCAGCTACTCAGAAGGCTGAGGTGGAAGGATCGCCGGAGCCCAGCAGCTCGAGGCTGTGGTGGCCGGGAGCATGCCACTGCCCTCCAGCCTGGGCCACAGTGAGACTCCAACTCAAAAAAAAAAAAGAGCAACCATTTTTTGCACAGGGAACTGCGGTCTAATTGGAATTCTTATCTTAGCTGATGAAACAACCAGTTGTGTATATTTTTGTGTGGTATTGTGTATCATTCTTAGAATTCATACCTTGGAATTAGTTATACTACTTGGTAAATAGTGGACCCCAGAAACACAACATTATTTAAGGGACATAATTTATCTGTTTTATGACATCAAATATTCAGCAACCATAGGAGTTTTTTTTCCATCTGTATATTTTTCATTGTGAGTGGAATAATGTGCCCCTTATTTAAAACATCTTTCCTCCTAACAAACTATTAGGTATTTGATCATTTATTGGTTTTCAAGATTAGATGAGTCATCTTTTCATCTTTACGGTAGACCATTTATCTTCAATCTATTACTCAGTAAAAATAGGTTTAAAACCTATGGATCTACTTAACTACCTTCATAATCTCTATTTGACATTTGCTCACTTCTTCATCTCTATTTGTTGGCCTGGTTTTTCTGTATTTTCTTGACCCAAACTGCTCATTATCAAGATGAATGTTTGAATTCAGACCCCTTTTGAGACCCTTCTGGGCATAATGACATGGATTTCATTAATTTATCATCTATTTGATGTTGAAGAATTATGGAGGCAGTCACTAGTACAGATGGTGACTGTAGAGGCTATCCCAGTCCCAGTGGAGTGTTATGCTATACCAAAATGTGTTAGATGCAGTAGACAGATACATCTGTCTTGGGGGTTTAGGGCACAACATTTCTGAGGAACTCTGACTCAATCTGTCCCTTCTCCTTTCACAGGGCAGCAAGGCGAACCCCATCCCTACTCACTGGAGCTCAGCTTTGATTTTTTAACCTCCCTTCCCCACCCTTCCAGAACACACACATTCCCATTCCAAAACTGATTTTATAAAGACATTTTAAACATAATGATGCAACTTGGTATGCACTACGGCAATGTACAGGTGTTTTTTTTTTAATTGTTTCCGAAAACGTGACCTGGATTTAAGATGTAATTTTTAAAATTTCTATTTCTATTTTTTCTGCAGCAGTTGGGTTAAAGGAGGAGGATCCTTTTAGCCTTTCATAAACTGACCTCTCTACTTCCTCGTGTATTTTTAAGATAGATTGATGATGTGGAAAGGGCTTTGCTTGTCTGCTATTGAGAACTTTATCCTTGCGGTTTTTGTGGAAACTGCTTTTGGAAAGAGAAAAGAAATGAACTTTACTGACTTGACATTTTTACACCTCCCGTTTTTCTAATCTGGGCTATTTTTATTTTTGTTTTTTTACAGTGAGATTTTTTTGATCTTCAGCTACAGTAAGTTATACCAATTTTTTTTTTACATTTTTCCTGACTTTCCGCTGATTTCCTTTTTATTGTTGTTACTAGTTACTATTACTTATTATAATAATACTTAATGATGGTGATGATGATGATGATAATGAAACTGATGATTTTTAACCGGATTAAGATCGAGTTTTTCTGAATGTTCGTAAGAATTTCTCCGACCTCCTGATTGACTTTGAGAAGTTTTGCATCTTGGGAGAGAAAGCGAAGGCATTAGCATTTTTAAGTGGATTGATCACGTAAACCTTTTCTCTCCCAACCCCACCCTTGCCCTCATCCCCTTCCCCACGCTGAAAAGAATTTTACTGGCTGTTAAGTCTGTGACCTTATTTTTCCTGATCTTTAACTTAACTGTTTTAGAGCATCTCTGGACGTCTGTATTTTTAATTTTTTTTATTTTTGTTTTTTTATTTTTAATCTTTCATTTGTTAAATTTTTAAACTGTGCTGCAATAAAATGTGTGTGGTACTACTTAACACCTATGATGGTGATGGCATTTTCCCAGAAAGCCATCTTCCTGTTTCCCTTGAAATCCCATCCTGCTTTTCCTGTACACTACCCTTCACAAACCACAAGCTGCAGCAACATGGATGCCCAGCCTGGAGCAGCAGCAGCCAGGATGACCTGGAGCCAGGGGGGCCTTCGGAACAGATGCACACCCTTCCTGGGTGATGGTAAGAGGTGTGAGGTCCACTTGGATTCATTACAAAGACTAGGAAATAAACCCATTTAAGTTTAGTTGATGTAGGTCATAGCCTCTGGAAGTGTTGGGGTTTAGCCTTTTGTTTATATGAGGTGTTTGCCAAGGTGGACCATCTCAGTTATTTGTAAACTAATGGAATAATACAATTTTTAAATAACTGGGCTGATTGGAGAATTTTTCATTCTTGGAAAGAGCAGCTAAAGTTTATCTCCACTTAGAAATGAAAATAGCAACAAGACACAAACTAATATATCAGGAAGTTCTTTTTTCTTAGATTATTGCAAATTAGCAAAAAAATTTCTGTTATTTAGAATATCTCAGGATTTGTGACATTTTTTGAATTCTACTTAGACTGTTATTTCATTAAAATTTAACATGACTCAAACCAAAAGAGATATGCTTGTAATATTAAAATGCTATCTCACTGGAGTTGAGGAAAGGTGATCTTTTTAACTTCAGTAGGAAAGGCTGTTTTACCTGTCCAAATCAGGAAGGATCTAGGGATGATCCTTTTGTATTTTTTATAGAGGTGGGATCTTGCTATGTTGCTCAGGCTGGGCTTGAACCCTGGGCTCAAGCCATCCTGCCTTGACCTCTCAAGTGCTAGTATTACAGGCATGAGTATTACAGGCATGAGCTGCTGTGCCTGACCTAGAGTTTTTTTTAAGGCATATTTAGTGCTGTTTTACACGGGCAAATCACATACTTGCCCCCATACCTTGCTCAAAAGTAAAATATGATAAAGTTAACATCATAAGGTACACGTACACTCAGCAGAATGGGAGAAAGCTAAAGTAAAAGGTCATGGAGGTTTTTTTTTTTTTTTTTTGAGTTGGAGTCTCTGTTGCCCAGACTGGAGTGCAGTGGCCGCTCCCGGCCACCGCAGCCTCGACCTGCTGGGCTCTGGTGTGATTCTTCCGCCTCAACCTTCTGAGAGCTGGAACTACAGGCGCGCGATACCACGCCCAGCTAGTTTTTTTGATTTATTGTAGAGACGAGGTCTTGCCAAGTTGCCCATGTGGGTCATGGAGGTTTTTTAAAGGAGGAATAGAAATCGTGGGGTTTGAGTCAGTCTCACTCTATAGCCCAGGCTGGAGTGTAGTGAAACTACAGGGGCACACCACCATGTTTGGCTAATTTTTTGATTTATTGTAGAGAGGTCTTGCCAAGTTGCTGGGCTGGTCTCGAACCCCTAGGCTCAGGCAGTCCTCTCACCTCCACCTCTGAAAATTGCCAGGATTACAGGCAATGAGCCACCTTGCCTGGCTTCATGGTTTTTTAATAGTTTCTCATTTTAATGTCTCTTGTATAAGAATGATTTCTAGCTTTGCTGCAGCTCTCTGTGTGTAGAAGCTTTTCACTATAGATTGTTTCGTTCCTTATTAATTTTACAAATTCATTATTTTATGGGTCATGTTTTTCTGTTTGAGGATATAAAAGAAGTATAATAGTTTATGATGATGTCTTAAGGGACTTGCAACCTAGTGAGGAAGACACATGAAGGAAATGTTACCATATGATTAGAGGTGTAAGCACAGATCCTATAGCAGTGTGCATGCCTATAGTCTCAACTACTCAGGAGGTAGTAAAGCAGGAGGATCCTATGATCCAAGGAGTTTCGAGACTATTTTGTAATGTGAATAATCATTGCACTAACCTGGGCAACATAGCGACTGTGTCTCAGGTACCTGACTGACTCTAAGAGATTAGGGAATGCTTTTAAGAGAGGAAATGTGCTGAACTGCTTAACTTAGGTTAAGAACAGATCATAAAAATTTGAATGCTGTGCTTAGAGTTTATATTTTATCCAGAAAACAATAGTGAGAAGCTGAAAGATTCTAAACTGGGAAGTGACATCAGATTTTCATTTATAGAAATATCAGCCGGGCTCGGTGGCTCAGCCTGTAATCCCGCGCCTTTGGAAGGCTGAGGTGAGTGGATTACCTGAGCCCACCAGTTCGACACCCGCCTGGGCAGGCAAGACCTCATCTCCACAATAAATCAAAAAAATTAGCTGGGCGTGGTAGCGTGCGCCTGTAATTCCAGCTACTTGGAAGGCTGAGGCGGAAGGATTGCCAGAGCCCAGCAGGTCGAGGCTGCGGTGGCCGGGAGTGGCCGCTGCACTCCAGTCTGGGCAACAGTGTGAAACTCCAACTCAAAAAAAATCCTATGCCTAAGGATACTTGTCCTCATTTTTTAAGTGGGTTTTTGTGTGAACACAATACATTGTGTATTGATGAGCAAAATAAGTCTGAAAAGGATAGTTGAGAACTGATCATACTCTAGGAAATTACTGATTATTTCCGTGATACTTTGTTGGGTCAGACATAATTAATTCTGATTTGGAAGAAGTAGAGCTTAGCATTACTCTCTTACAGATTTATGCTTAACGTTTGACTGTGTGTCTACCATTGTTAAACTTCTTGTCTTCATTTTAATCATCACAGCTTTGAGTACTGTTAACACATTTTAGAGCTGTGGAAATTGAACGTAAGCAATTTAAATAACTTGCCCCAAATTAGACATACCTAATAAGTGGTATAGCACAGATTAACCCCGAGAGTAAACCTGCAGATTTCAACACTTTAATCATATTAGACAACTTTAAACACCTTGACGTGTTGAGTCTTCTAGAAAAATAAATTACAATGTGGTTGACATCCCAAAGGAAAAAGCTATAGATGTCTTTTTTTTTGAGTTGGAGTCTCACTCTGTTGCCCAGACTGGAGTGCAGTGGCCACTCCCGGCCACTACAACCTCGCCCTGCTGGGCTCCAGCAATCCTTCCGCCTCAGCCTTCCGAGTAGCTGGAACTACAGGCACGCGCTACCACACCTGGCTTATTTTAATTTATTGTAGAGATGAGGTCTCGCCAAGTTACCCAAGTGGGTCTCGAACCCGGCAGTCCACTCACCTCAGCCTCCCAAAGGCGCGGGATTACAGGCTGAGCCACCGAACCCGGCTTAAATGTCTATTTTTAAAGAATCTTAAAGTTAAATGTCCTGGTTGATACATTTTGCCCTTGAATTCACAACACCTTAAGTGTCATGAAGATGTATGCAAGACAGTAAATTGTTTATTACAGTTTTGTGGTGTAGTTTTACGGAGTGTTTGATTGATAGCATTGTAAGGGGTGAAAGCACACTTTAGAAGTGAGCTTTCAGTCCATATGTGGTGGCTCACATTTATAAACCCAGTGCTTTAGGCCAAGGCAAGAGGAGTGCCTGAGCCCAGGGGTTCGAGACCAACCTTGGCAACTTGGTGAAGGCATCTTCTCTACAATAAATAAAGAAAAATTAGCTGAGCGTGGCAGCATATGTTTGTAGTTCCGACTACTTAGAAGGCTGAGGAAGAAGTATTGCCTGAGCTCAGCAAGTCCAGCCTGTTATGGCCATGAGCGTGCCATTGCCTGGGCAACAGTATGACTCCGGCTCAAAAAAAACCCAAAAAACAAACCAACAGCGAGATTTTAGTTTGAAACCAAGAAAACACTTCCTTTTGGTTTATTTATTTTTTATTTTTTTGACCAGGTGTGGCAGCTCACACCTGTAATCCCAGGACTTTGGGAGGCTGAGATGAGAGGATTGCCTGAGCCAAGGGCTTCAAGATTAGCCTGGGAAACTTGGAGAGAGCTCATCTCTATAATAAAAATTAGCCACACGTGGTGGCACACGTCTATAGTTTGCTATTTGGAAGGCTGAGATGGAAGCATTGCCTGAGTCCAACAGATCGAGGCTGCGGTGGCCAACCTAGGCAACATAGAGTGACTGAAAAATATTTGTTTAAAAAATTATTTTGTGGAGATGGGGTTCTTGAATTGTTGCCCAGGCTGCTCTTGAACTCCTGGCCTAAAGTGATCCTCCAGTCTTGATTTTCCAAAATGTTGGTTACAGGTATCAACAACCAAAGGGATTTGCCCAGTGGTCCTTTATATAAGTCTCATCTCAGTTGACTATTGGTGCCATTTACCAAGTGGAGTTCTCTTTCTTAAAATTTTTTTGCTTTGCTTCCGGATGTCTGTCATATGTTTCTGGCTGTTATTTCCCTTCTGTTGAAGTGCTCTGTTGTCTGTCTACACTCCTTGGGTTATTTCATGCAGTCTCCTGATTTTTATACCACCTATAGCTGATGATTCCCACATTCAAGACAACAGACTGAAATTCTCTTGAATGACATACTCGCCTATTCACTTAACTATATGACAACTCCATTGAATATCAAGTATTATCTTAAAAGTGCAGTACTGAGCTACTGCTCTTCTTCCCTCA